CTGCAGAACTGCAGTCAGCTGAAGTAGCCTGCAGTGCTGCATTTAACCACTGTGCCACCTTGTAATAGTATACATGTGATTATATGTTATGAAAATGGAAAATAAAAAAGTATATTTCAAAAAAATGCTTTATTAAGATAAGATAGTTAAGATTTAATGTAAGAAAAGTTGACAGGCAATAGATGTAATAGTAATGTTGAATTTTTATGAAATATATATCCCATGCCTTCTTCAGCTTGCCAGTTTGACAAGTATGTTTGAAAAGGTATAATTGTAGCAGAATTGCCATAAATGAACTAAGCAGGACCAAACTTCATGTAGCAGTTTGCATGTAACTGGATGAGTCAGAATAAGTGACATATGGCATTCTAGCTGTTGATCAAAAATTCTCATCATCCTTAAGAAGCATGAATGCTGGGGATTGTAATTTAATAGCTTCTCTAGTGGTAAACATTGCTTATCCCTGGCTTGAGGATAAAGAAGCAAGCCCAATCTCCAAAAATCACAAAGAGATTATTACTCACTAACCAAAATTGTTCTGATGCCTTTGGTTGATTGGTTGCTTTTCAAAAACAGAGAGGGTGAAAACTTTACTTCAAATTTGAAGTTTCTAAAAGACTTTCTCCCAACAACTCATCATGAATGTCTTTCTTTGTTTGTTATGATTGCATCACTTCCTATTTTGGTTAAGATCAGAAGTCTGATGATATTGTCCCCTGCCATAAATACAAGGATTAACATTTTATAAATTATGGCTTGGTCCTTCAAATGTTTGCAATCAGTTTAATAGTTTATTTCTTTTTGTAGCAGACAACAGATGTGTCGTATCAAATGCAGCAACATGTACTGCCTGTCTTGCGGTGGGTCCTGAATGTGGTTGGTGTGTTCAAGAGGTAAAAAGTTTCTTTGTATTAGTCAGCTGTTATTTATTTGTTTATGTTTCTTTCTCTACCTATACAGTAGGATTTTGCAACACTTCGATTTTGACAGAATGGTGCTTGGGAAATTCCTGGAATTTCTCACACTTAGCAAATTCCAGTTACCAGGCATCAACACTGATCTGAAGGCACACACATACACAAAAACACATAAAACTGACTGAACATTGTCTTGAGAGCAGATACACATGAAAGGCACACAGTAGGTTCAAACTTTTTCCCATGTTTGGTCATTCATTTTCTTTTTTTTTTAACAGACTCACTCCGTTATAGTGAGATGGGTATAAGCAAATTTAATAAATAAATAAATCTTCTCTGGTGCTTCATCTAATAAAGCTCTTTATTAAAGTAAGGAGCTATCTTGAGTCAGCAGACAGATAGAGGCCACTAACCTTCCTGCCCAAGGTTTTAGTTGTCTCTATATTCCAATAAATTATCTCTATATTCAAGTTGTCTCTATATTCCAAAGGGATGTGATTACTCAGTGGCTAAGACACTGAGCTTGTTGATCAGAAAGTTCGACGTTCAGCAGTTCGAATCCCTAGTGCCATGTAAGGGAGTGAATTCCTGAGGTGAAGAGCCGAGGTGGTGCAGTGGCTAGGGTGCAGTACTGCAGGCCACTTCAGCTGACTGCTATCTGCAGATCGGCGGTTCAAATCTCACCGGCTCANTTAAGCTTGCAATTTTAGTTTTAAAACTGCGTGTTATACGCCGATAAATACGGTAATTTTCAGAATAAAGAATTTGATTTGAATACTCTGTGGCTTGCATAGTATATATGTCATAATCTAAATCAGGTCTATATTGAATTTTATCTTGCCCAAGTAACACATTCCACACTCTTACCCCATAGTATTCATTCTTGCAATGCCTGGCCTATTGAGTCTTATTTAGGGAAATGAAATGCATAAGTTGATATACAGTTTGACATTGTACAATTAGCTATGCCTGAGGGTTTAATACATACTGTATATATGACTCTTTAATGAACTGGAGCCAACATGTGGCTTCTCTTGCTTTAAAATACTCATTGATACATATTTATTATTTAACTAAAGCCAGTAAAATCTTGCCCAATGATTTTTGACCACATAGATATTCAGTTCTACCAGTTTTGTTTGGATTCTGCTAATAAAATAGTAAAAAAAATTCTACAAGGAGCCAAGTTGTAAAAATATTTTCAGCTTTATTATTAGGTTTAGAAAAAAAGAAAAAAGGTAAAGTGCTTTAATTCTAATTCTTTAGAAATAGACTGGCAGAAAAAAATTTCTGAATGAATATATCTATAAATGTTATTTCTATCAGAAATTATTGGAACTTATTATTAACCAAACAGATTTTAATGGTATTTTTTTAAATATGTAACCCTCTCATGTTTGTTTCCTTGCAACGCTATAAATATGATTTTAAAACAAACATGGTTCAAAAAGATGGTTACGGGTGATCCTTCTTAACTGTTTTCTCTAGGTAGGCAGTAGTTGATTTGTTATTAGACTCTGAGATATTAATATCAAAATTTAGTTGGGCAAAAGCTTCATTAACTTTTTTCCCTACTGTCAAAATGTGCACAGTTTTAGAAGGCTAAAAATTCAGCACAAAATATTATGCCATTGCCAGCTGTATAAAGCAGGCTATATAAAATAAACAATCCCACAATAAGACTATAGCCGTGATGGCGAACCTATGGCACTCATGTGACACGCAACACCCTCTCTGTGGGCACGCGAGCTGTTGCCCTAGTCAGCTCAACCATGCATGTGTGTGCGCCTCCTGCCAGCCAGCTGGTCATCAGATCTCTGCCGCACATGTTTGGGGGATGGGGTGTGTGGCGGACTGGGTGCATGTGGGGGGGGGGATGGAAAAAGTTAGCCATCACTAGACTATAGTATACTTTAATGAAATAAGCTGGAATAATAGAATCTATATATTTTATCTTCCATTCCCCTTATATCCTTATTGAATCAGAGAAGAAGCAATGAAAACCTAAATTATAAGCTTCAATTATTAAATAGGGCTGGGATAAACTCCTTTCTAGGATTTTGGAGTGCTAATGCCCTTTATTGGGAAGACCTGCCTTTCTAACTGTGGGCTTGGTGAAAGAAAACATTAGAAGGCATCAGCCAACACTTTAGGAAGGCAACAATTTGCAGAAAACGAATAGCGATCATACAAAATTAAATGGGCTAATTGTTTGAGAATTATTCATCTTACTGATATTCTTTGCCCTATAATATGTCTCCAGACACTATACATTTCAGTGTTCTAACTTTTGGTGGACTATATAAAGTTGGTGATAGAAAGGTAAATGATTTTTTTTAAGGTTTTAATCATATGCTAGAAATAATGCAGCATATAAACTGAAGTTTTAAGTAAATATTATGCAACATGATTATCTTTCAAATATGAATTCGAATAAACAGACTGAAATGAAGTCTTAGAAAAATTTAAACCATCAGATTCTGCACTTCTTGTAATTGGGTTATAAGCATGGGGCTCATGTCCATCTCTTTGCCATGTGTTTTTAAGTATGTATATATTTTGGAAGGGTGTTCTGGCTCTGTTTTGGCCTGCTCTAATTTCAAAATTGTTTTTAATATACTGGCATTCAATTTTTAATGAAAAGAGTCATTGACATTTTGGTTTATTCCTTTCATTTCATACTGAAAAAAGAGACCTATCGTTTAATAACAAAATGTTACCATTTCTGTTGTAGAATTTGAAATAAATGCATCTTTTAAGTTTCATGTTCTATGGATATGGTTGCTATACTGAAACTCTGCAAAGTGACTGAACACAAAACAGATTATATTTCAATGGCTGTCTTCCAGTATCCTCTGACAAAGGGATGAAAATAGTTGGTGGCATGCTGTCCTTTAGTAGAGTACAAACCTCTAACAACATATCAAATATACAAGGGATATCGTTTGAAAATAAACAGTAGTAGTCACAGTAATGTGGCCAAATTAAAGTAGCTTTTTAATCTGAAACAAAAATGCTTCATTAAGGAATTTTAAGGAATGCTTTACTGCGGGTCTGGAAAAAATATCAATACAAATTAAATGATAAGATACCCATGTAGGCAATTCCTAGACATGCAATAGAAAATATGAACATAGTACAAAAACAGGATATAATTACTTACAGACAGCTTCTTACCCTAGAAATAGCAATAGCAATAGCAATAGCAGTAGACTTATATACCGCTTCATAGGCCTTTCAGGCCTCTCTAAGCGGTTTACAGAGAGTCAGCATATTG